AAATCTTTTATCAGTTAACTTAAAAAGACCTCCCTTTTTATGCGAACATCGTAATTTATTCCATTAGCTCTAAATGACCAAGAAAGATGACACTCGAAAACTGCATTATCTTCATTTTAATCAAATGGGCGTCTGACAGCACACCGTTCACCACACCTCCATTATCATGCACTCCACTATGAGCTTGCCAAAACCACCTCTCGCCCATTGCAACGCCTTCCGCAAACTGTAAGCCTCCACATTCTCAGCCGCTATTAAACCATGGCCCCTCCATGACGTGGCTCCCATCATCTCTCCATTTTTTGTGATCTCGTTATCTGATATGGTTTAGGTTGAATAATTGATATTCTATGGTGAGAGAATACAATGATTTCCAGTCTTTCACTTTTGGTTGGTAATTCCACACTTTTTTTTCTTAACAACTTTTTCCTAACTATAAATTTAATCCAAATTAAATTCAAATATCAATATTAACCAAGATCAAAGTAAATTTATCCCTCTAAATTTCTTTTATTTTAAGTCAAACAATAAACAATGCTCTTATCATCTTTTTTCTATTTGACTCATATACCTATGATACAAATTTTAAGACCTTGTATGGTTACAAGAAGATATTTCCTTTGAGCTACAATTTTTGTCCATCGAGTATAATAAATGACAATACATTAGAATAATTATCATTGATGATGAAACGGGGTTGTAGAAATCCTCACCATTTGCCCAATTGTATGCCTTGACCAATGGATTTGGTATAACCAAAATTTTATTGGGCAACAGATTTCCAAAATGATGGGCGCATCGATTAAGCTAATAATTTCCAGCATTTTATTGACTTTTTCTGCCATCTTTTCCCAACATCCATTAGCTTCATTTATTGGGTTCTTATCAAGCATCAATTTGTTCTCATCTAAACCCATTTGTCGCCCCTTTCTGGGGGGATGAGACTTTGAGCTGTTTGGAACCTGAGGAAACATCATGTGTTTTAAATAAGGTCAAAGGATATAAAACGAGTTGGAGCTTTTTGTTAGGGAAATCAAAATATAAAACTAGGTTGGAGTAGGAGGAGAAAAAACTTTGTGATAAATGTTGTTGTTGCATGAAATGCCAAAGCAAGTAGCCAACATGTTGCTCTCAATGACTTCCCCCATTGACATTTAGATTCCAAACCCAATATAATCAATCAAAGAAATTAGAGAAACTTTAAAACAAGACTTTACTTCCCCTCATGCCCAATTGCTTTAGGGAACATACTTGCTTTTAATAGGCTGTTTGAGGCATCTTGTTTTGTCATCACCTACCCTCAAGTGGTCATAATTAGACTGATAACTTTTCCTGAGGGCAACTTCTCTTGTGGAAATTAATTAGGCTGTCTTGGTCTAGATTCAATTTATCAAAGATCATTGATATACAGATTTTATAGCATTGTTGTTTAGGAGTTTATCCATTATCACCTCTGACCTACCCAGGCAATACCTCACACATATACAGTGTTTTGGCGGCTGAAGGATTTTTTTCCCTTTTCCCATGGTGGCTGAAGGATTAATTACTATTATGACTGGGGTATAATTTTCATTTGAAAATTTAAAGTTCATTAATTTGTTCAATATTAGGATATTATTTTGAACATAAAATCTCTTAGTAAACTCTACAAGACAGTATACAAAGTTACAAATATCTGTAGTGCATAAAAATCACATACACAAGAGTTTAAATTCAACTTGTGTAGTCTCAACTTCTAGACTTTTAACCTGTTATTCTAAGATCTCATTCGCCTCTCATAAAATCTTATACAAAACATCTTTGGTTACGGGGCGATAATTGTAAAGATATA